AACAGAAGGCGACGGATTTCACTGGCTGAGAGAGGGGCATCCTCACCAAGAGACGCTCGCTTTGTAGGGCTTTCCAAGTCTGCATCATCATCTTCTGGTACGCATGGAGCAGCATGAACGGGGCTGCCAATTCCATGCCCTTCGTCATCTCTTTTCCTTTTTTCCTGCTTGACATCCATGTCCTCTTGTTCTTCATCACCCTCCGCAATCTCGGTGGGGGAGGGGACATCGAGCATCGGAACATCAACAGGTTCGGCCATGATGATCACGAAGGGCAAGAGGAGAAAGGGGAAAAGCCAGACAAAGTCACCCCTTTTGCACGTCACCAGGTTCAAGTCAAGAGCCCAAACACGACCCCAGACAACGATGGCAAGCCTTCACCCCGGGCAGAATCACGTAAACCGCAAAGAGCTGCTGGCCGCCACTTCACCCCGAAGAAGGGCAGAATCCGGTAGAAGACAAAGAGCCTCTGGCCGCCGCTTCACGGTCGGAAATGGCAGAATCAGGTGGAAGACGAAGTGCCCCTGGCCGCCGTTTCACCGTGCACACGGGCAGAAGCAGGTAGGTGCGGACCGTCGGCAGATCGCCCACCCCTTTTTTCCACACCCACTGAAGCACTCGACCGGCAGCCTTTCGTCCTGGCACAAAGGAGAGGTTATGTCCTGGCGGGGCGAGGCAGAGGGGGACTGGGGGCAGGCACGAAAGAGGTCTCGAGCATATGGCTTGAGCCGTAGCCATTTTTTTTTGGGGTTTTAGGGTTTAGGATTTAGGAGTTTAGGGGATTAGGGTTTAGGGTTTAGGGGTCCAGGGTTTAGGTGTTTAGAGGTTTAGGGTTTAGGCGTTTAGGGACAAGGATTACTTGTTTTGGGGATGCATTTGGGGGTGAGGGTGGAGAAACCCTAAACATGGTGTTCCGAACGGTCCTACAATCCCAAAATAGTAGGATCCATATGAAGAAGAATCCAACGAAGACCCACGGTTTCCAAATTACGGTTTAGGGTTTAGGGTTTAGGGTTTAGGGTCTAGGGCTTCGGTTTTAGGGTTTAGGCTCCACTGACATGACTCTAACTATTCTCAAGCTGTTCTATTGGAACACCAAAATGACTATATAAAATCACCGAAAGAAGTCTGAGAGGCTCGGAGTGCCTTGGGCTTAGGTTTGGGCTTTGGGTAAAGGCTTAAGGGTTCAGGCTTGGGCGCGGGTATGTGAGTCTGTCTTGTTTGACGCTCCTAGGAAGCAGATGGAGCATAGGGAGCCTCAAAAGGAGCTTCCAAGCAGGGTAACGAACCATTAAAGGGCCCCTGAGACTCTGAGCCTAGGGCCTAAACCCCAAAATCAGGTGCAGATCCTGACCCTAAACCCTAAACTTCCTAAACCCTAAACCCTAAACCCCAAAATCCAGAGCAGTTTACAGGATCCCTGATGACATGTCCGACTCTTCGGGTTCCCCCGCGCTTACATGCACGCCACAGAGGGGCCCTTTGAAGTTACTGGGCGGGCGTGCGGGTAGACGGTAGACCCTAAACCCTAAATCCTAAACCCTAAACCCTAAACCCTAAACCCTAAACCCTAAACCCTAAACCCTAGACCGGACCGATGGTTCAAAGACCCACTTCCGATTAATGCTCTAGGGTTTCGTGTCAGGGTCTCGGACCTACGGGCTTATTAGCTTTAGGGTTTAGGATTTAGGGTTTAGGATTTAGGGCTTAGGGTCTAGGGTTTAGGGTTTAGGGTTTAGGGACTTATTCAGACAAGAATATATATATATATATATGAAAAAAGCAGGGCGTCGAAAAGGTGAATCTGGACCAGAATCATGCGAAAGAGGAGCGGCACCCACATGATCTGAGACGGGGCGCGCTTGGGCATTTTTACACAGAGACTCCAATATCCCTTAATTAAGGAATATACCTTAAATTATAATGGGATCCCTAATATGATTTTAAGGTATATTCCTTAATTAGGGGATATTGGAGTCTCTGGGTACACTTGAGGCCCTAGCTGTTGGTAGCTTGGGCCTGCAGGTTAGGGTTTCATGTCGGGTTGGGAGCTCAGGGGATGTAGGTTGGCACCTGCAACCCACTGTTTGGGGTTTAGGGTTTAGGGTTTAGGGTTTAGGGTTTAGGGTTTAGGGTTAGGGTCAAAAAAGTACGACCCAAGATCATTAGGCCTCTAGCAAGGGCAGCTTATCCTAAACCCTGCAGTACACCTTTAAACCGAACCCGAGCCTACACCCCTAAACGCCCAAACCCCTTGTCCCTACATCCCCTGCTACCTAAACCCTTCACGCATGGGGAGGCCAAAACCCTCAGCCCGAAGTAAAGTGAACTCTCTCTGCGCCTAGCGAACGGATTTAGGATTTAGGGCGAAAGGGTCAACGGCCAAGAGCTCTCTCTACTAAAGGCCTACTACTTGTCCAATGCCTAAGAAAGCTCAAGGCTAACGTTGAAGATTATATCCCTAAACTCACAAAACCCTAAATAGTACACCAAAAAGGCTAAAGGTTACATATATACTCTACTGCTAAGAAACTTTTGACTTCGGAGCTTCAGAACATGGTGTGCTGAGCTGTTCCCTCGAAATGCGGGCTCCCTAAACCCTACACCCTAAATCGTAAACCCCTAAAGCCCTAAAGCCCTAAACCCCTAAACCGTAAGCCGAAGGTTCAGGTTCTTTGGGATGTAGAGTTTCGAGTTCTGGCGCTTAGCATCTTTGGCTTCAGGACTTCTGACTGAAGTTCTCGGGGAGACCAAGCTATACCTATACATCATTTCAAGATTTAAAAAGCAACCTCTCTCGCTCTCTCTGTCTCTCACTCGCTTTCTCTGTCAATATGTAAATGCACACACACATGCATACTATGCTTGTTAATTTTTATTATGCAGAAATTCATAACAGGCATTAGCACACTCTATGAAAATCCGTATCGTGCTGGGCCTTTGCGAGCTGCAAGAGGAACTTGCCTTGTCTGCAGGGCAACCAAAGTCTAAACCCTCAACCGCAGGAACCTAGGGTTTGTGGTTTAGGGTTGAGGGTTTAGGGCTTGGGTTTGGGGTTTAGGGTTTCAGGCTTAGGGTTTAGGGCTTAGGGTTTGGGGTTTGGGGTTGCAGGGCCTTTCGTTGTAGAGATTGGGCTGGCAGCTTGCACTGTGTTGCCTACGTACTGCTACCTCCGCTGCCACGACGATCTTTTAAAATCAAGGCCGGGCTACTAGCTGCCGTATGGACCTCTAAACTCATGAGCATCGTGCTTATTAAAACCTGAAGCTTTGACTAATGTAGGGGCGTAGGCCAACTAGAATTGGATTTGGAGTTTGGGGTACGTTGGGCGATGGTGATATAAGAGCATGCAGGGATGATCCTGCCAAACTACTCAGATCCTGATATCCGTCCTTTAACTCTAACCCAAGCAAGCAAAATCGACAAACTTGCTCACCCGGATGAGAGTTTTAGGGTTTGTGCTGATCGCTTCGTAGGGGGCCTGATTGCAGGCAAACCCCAATGCCAAAGCCTAAACCCGTTGGCCGTAGCCTTCGACCGACCGTCACCCTCTGCGTGCCTGCGATGCAGGGAATGAATCCCTCAAACGTCCCCTGCAAGACCCCGACAAAACACCCGTTGAACACCCTTCGAAGACCCAATTAAACCGTGATGAAAACCTATGAACAACACCTAAAACCACCCCCTATAGTTGCCTGTTTGAACATCCGCAAGCCATGTCACATCGCCCCTCCTGCAGCGTCTGGTTGGCCAGCCTCCCCTGGGGGCAGCATGGAGGTTCAGGGTTTAGTGTTTAGGGCTTCCAGGGTCTAGGGAACCCTGAAACCCAAACCTAAACCCTCATCGTCTCGGCGTTGCCAAACTACATAGAGGCCTTGACACTTTGAATCGGGTGTCAACATGGTTTTGTACGGTCTTTACAAGGCGGGTGAGAATGTATAGTGGCCTCAACAAACAGAATGCGCATTTAAGGGATGTTGTATTATATTTATCCGGGGACCACAGGAACCATAGTTGAACGTTTGTAATGTAGGGGCCTTAATAATTAGAATAGGGCTTTGGGGCCATGATACTACAGTTATAAGTATTTTTAAAATGCCCCTATATTCTTATCTATCATGCAGACCTCCATAGTACTAAAGGACCCGGAGACCCCAGAACCCTTGACTAAGGAATGAACCTCAAGTTCCTTATTATAAAATAATACACCCCAAGACCCTGTTCTAATGACTAAGGCCCCTACATTAGAGCATGCCGTGGACAGTTGGCGTCCCCACAAAGCATGCCGGCGTGTCTGCATGAGACCACCGGCGACCAGTTTCGCCACAAGCTGGATCGTTCACAGCTGCTCCAGCAGAAACCTCAACCCTCAACCCTAAACCCCTAAACCCCTAAACCCCTAAACCCTAAACCCTTAACCCTAAACCCTAAACGACCGTGAGTCTGGCTCAATAGTGCGACTGCAACATGAGCCAAACATCCAGACGAGCCACGAAGCTCGAAAACACTCACTGGATCTGTTTTCCCTCTTGTGCCGTAGCAGACTGGGGCAGCAAGCCTTCTCACGTCCCTCGACGGCCATCCAGTCCGACCGACAGTGACTGGTGTGCAGCCCTATAAACCCTATAGGCCCTAAACCCTAAATCTGAAACCCCTAAACCCTAAACCTCACATCAAGCAGGCGGAAACCTTGACAAAACCTGAGATGCCCGCAGTGGTCTATCCTGCACCGCCGCGCTTCATACGACGACTTGAACTTTAGGGTTTAGGGGTTTAGGGTTTAGTTCATAGTATATTCCACCGTACTCAATTAAACGGCATTCGGAATGAAATGGGTTTAGGGTCGTTAGTGAAGGACATGGTTTTTGCGAAACCCGGACCCGAACCATCTAAAATACCCAAACCTTAGCTATCGCGGCTTCAATACTTATTGCAATTCTGGTAGAAGATGCCCAGCCCTATTCTGGTTCCTAAGGCCCCTATAAAACCGAGATGTTCGGCTTCAGACAAGGTACTAAGCTCCTTTTTCAGGGTGATTGAGGGCCTTTCCAACCCCCGAACAATGGTCCCTGAACCCTAAACTCTAAACCTAAAACCCTAAACCCGAAACCCAGAACCCTAAACCCTACACCCTACACCCTAAACCCTTCGACCTGAATGCCCCAGACCCCATGCAATCGCGAAGAGAATGCATGAAGACCCCTGAAAAAAGACCTTCGAAAAGGTCGTGTTGGTTACATCGTTTTTCGTTACAGTTGGGGTCGACTCTTTTCGTGTCCGCCAGTAGTAGGCTCCCAACAGCCAGAGTGCTCAGACTTCAGCGACCCTGACTGGGGGTTCAGGGTTTGGGGTTTAGGTAGAGGGGCAGCCTGCTAAATTAGGATCCCAGAAAAATCGCCGATAACGACTCTGGTTGTAAGTTATAACCTTTCCGAAACCTCAAGCCCTATCCCATGCCAGTGTTTACGCCTCTGGATCGTCGTCTAAGTGGCCGAGGCCGCGGGCGATGCCAGAAATCTGGGCCGACTGGGTTTAGGGTTTGTGGTTTAGGGTTTAGGGTTTAGGGTTTAGGGTTTAGGGTTTAGGGTTTGTGCTTTAGGGTTTGTGGTTTCTGAGAGTTCTGTAAGGCTTGTGCCGGGGCTCTGCAAGGCTCAACCCTTGC